GCAGTCGGCATCCTCTCCTTCTTCCTCATCATCCCGAAGTTGTTGGACCACGTCAGCGGACAGGGCCGCAGGGTCGGCCCTAGGCTTTCGAACCCTATTTTTCTTGGGCTTCGGGGTACTTGGTGGCGAAGCCCTTTTCCTTTTCTTCTCTTTGGTTAGCTTCGGGATCTCCTCTTCACCGGGCGGAGGCGGCCTCATAACAACATTGTCTCCGAGGCCTGCATAAGGGGAAAGTAAGTATTTTACAGAGAAACATCAACATGTGAATAAAGGAACTCACCATGGTGTTTAGCTTCCCACCGACCCCTGGCCAAATCGCGCCAACATCATTCAGCATGTGAAGAAGTGGACGCCAGTTGTCGAACCCAACCTGCGAGGTCCGGAATTGCACCAGGAAACCAAGGGAAAGCTGCATCATCAAAAAGAAATTAGATCGAAGAAGAATAAAGAAAGCAAAATATGAGCATCATCGATGGAGTTGTACTTACGTTTCATGTTCTATTCCCCGGGGAATGGCATTCTTTCAGCAGGAATTATGTCAGAGGTCATGATTCGGACGAACCGGCCCATCTACCCTCGGTCCTTGTCCTCATCAATACTCGAGAACAACGCCTTCGTGGACCGACCCTGGAGCTTTATCAACCCACCTCGATAGAGGCGAGGGCTGTATAACCTGATAAGATGGTCGAGGGTAAAAGACATCCCCTTGACGTTGCTCGAAAAATACCTGAGCAAATTGACAATGCACCAGAAAGAAGGATAGATTTGGCCAAGGGCCACCCGATATTGATGACAGAAATCGAATATGACCGGTTCTACGGGACCTAGTGTGAAAGAATGAGTATACACACTTAAGTACCCTTCCACATGGGTAGTGATGTCCTCTTCAGGGGAAGTAATCACTACCTCCTTATCCTCCCAATTGCAGTCCTTTTTCACGTGCTCGAGATCGTCTTCAGATATTGAGCACATGTATCCGGACATGGGCTCGCATCGGCCTGGAACTGATGCAGGCCTACCGACTTTGAAATCGGAAGATAGCTCGCATGGCTCATGAATGCACTCCTCGATACGAGGTTCCACCGTGGTTCTACCACCGGCCGGCCGTGATGATGAGGAGGCTTTTTCTTTCTGAGGAACAATTTTAGATGTTTTAGCCATCACTGTTGTGGAATTCAAGAGAAGAGAAGAAGTTAATGTTGTATTAAGCACAAATTGAAGAGAAGGATGGACTCAAAGAAAATGGAGAAGCTTGTAAATATTTGAGAAAGTGTTTGTAAAGATTGAGAGAATGGCTTATTTATAGTGGCCGCTTCAACGGTTTGAGGAAGCTGATGGTCGGCCATCAGCTGCCTTCAATTAATGGCCTTGGGAACTATGCGGACGCGATCCTTCAATCGCTTCCGTCGCTGACGTCATGGGATTGACATCATGATCGAGGCATCGGGGGATCGAGGATCAAATCTTTTCTTATCATCATACTCTAAGAAATGCGGGGACTATCTGTATACGGATGAAATTAGGTATGCCCGATTTCGTAGGCTCGAGGGGTTGCTTAGAGAACAAGTTCAAAATGGACCGGGCTCGAGTCCGATAGCGGAGTACAAGACTAGAAGATCGAAGTGTTCGACGAACACCGAGGCCAAGTATGACCAACCTCGAGATAATACCGTTATGGTTTCATAACAGAAAGAGAGAGATTCCCGCAGCGGCCCTAAGATCGCGGCATAAATTCCGGAACGGATTTGCACTAGGCAGTTAGACAGCTGTATAATAAGATTCCCTACTATAATTAGAAGTGTACCTTATTTAAGATTCCCCTACTATATAAAAGGGATCCCAATCATTTGTAAGACACGATTCATTGACAAAAGAATATACATGTCTCACTTTCTTGCTTATTGTTCATCAGAATTGCCTTATTATTTCATTGTTCTGACTAACCTACCTCGAGGTCACATTAACTCGAGGTCAAGACTTGGCTTGCACACTGGTTTGATTTACTTTACTTCTTCAATTCATGTATTTAACACCTTGTTTATAAATTGGTATTGAATCAAATTACATATCTTTGAAACCACAATATAAGTTTAATTGTTACTTGGATTTTAGGGTAAACATAGTGAAAAGAATCTCTACAAATTGTAATATCAAGCACATTGTTCCTTACTAATTCTGTATTTCGTTTGGTTGTTAGAACCAGAAGCTTAATTATATTTCTTTGCTTGTTTTATTTGTCACTAGAGATTTAGCAACTACTGATGCTGCATTTTGATGCTGCTATTTTTTTATGTTGCTGATTTTCGTTGGGTGGAGTCTTGGTGGTGCTGATTTGGTGCTGCAACTGCTGTTCTGGGATGATGCTAATTCTACTCTATTTTTCACTTCAACTTTGTTATCTACTGTAGTTGCTGTTCTACTTTGTGATACTACTATGCGGCCCCGTTAGTTTCAATATTTGTTTTGGGATTTCCGTTAGTTCTTTGACTTTTATATAGTGAAGGCTAACAGTATTCACCTCTTTTACAAAGATAAAGGATTATTTGTGTCCACTATTATATATATTATATATAAAGGACAAATATATGTTTGTACTATACTTAATATAGGTCTTTTCCCCCAAAGATTTAGCCAAAAGCTATAGGATTTTGTCGAACCCATATCTAATAGCTATAACCCACCTCCGCCCCTAATTAGATTATAGTAGTAAAGTTCAATCCAATGTATAAATAGTACACAAGACCACCATATGATTTGGAAAGAGACACTTGATCGAGCAGAGAGGTGATTCTAGGATTTAAATCGTATGGGTTCAACTTTCAAAATTTAGTATTGAACCTATTATATTTTTAAATTAATCTACGATTTTTGCAATTTAAATGAATTTTTTTTATACATAAATTTTTTTTACACGTCGAAAGTTATGGGTTCAATTGAACTTATAGGTTCAACGCTACATTCGCCCATGCTTGAGAGGGATACGCCTGTGAATTTGACATCTTTAGTCGGTTTGTATGTTTCTCTTTCTCTGTCTATCTCTGAAAAGGGCAAAGAAACTACCTGAGCTTACCAAAAGCTCAGTTTCAATGGAGTTGGGATTTATGAGTTGGGAAAAGATGATGGTATCCATTTTGTGTGTGTTTTTGGGTTTGAGATAGGTGCATGGAAGTGTAATTTTTTTTTTTTTTTTTTTTGGAACCCCAGAAAAATTTGCAATCGCTATTATCTCTGCCACAGCCTCTGTCCTTCGAATGAGCACTCTAGTAAATTATCCAGGAAATGTAAACCGCATTAGATAAGCTCTGTGCGACAAACTCAGACCCATAAACCATTGAGGGTGGATCGAAAGTGTAAATTACTGGTACTATGAAAAAGTAAAGTTGGGAGAAAAGAGATTGTTTCTGCCACCAGGAGATTTGAGTTGGCCTTTGATTGGTAACATGTGGTCCTTCCACGGAGCTTTCAAGTCCAGCAATCCTGATCATTTGATCTCCTCTTTTGTTTGAGCAATTTATGCAAAATATTCACTAAGCTTAAAATAATTATTTTTTTTTTCTGTTCTTTTGAAATTACTTACAATATATACCTACCCAATTAAAACTAAGTACCCCTACATACCCATCTATCTCAAATTTTTTTTTACTCATATGGCTTAGCTTCGCCAGAATTTGCTTGGTTGGTTTTGTTTGGCTTGACTTGAATTTGCTTTGCTTGGCTTGGCTTGACTTGATTTGGCTTAGCTTACTTGGCTTGACTTGACTTGATTTATAATAGCTTAATTTGACTTCATTTGACTTGGTATTAAAAAAAGGGAAATTACCAGCTATGTCCATTTATAGGTAGCTCATTACAAAAATTGGCCAATTGATAAAATATTACTAATATTAGCCAAATTAGCCAATTAGCTATTTGTAGCAAAAAAATATCAAATTTTTGCTTTGTTTTGAGTGGGTGTTATTAGAATAGATTGGGCACAACTTAAGGAGCTTGAATCTCAGTTTTGGGATGATTTGGTGAAGTTTTGAGGTGGTTTATATTGAAAATTCGATGTAAAAGCTGAACATGAAAAAAATGATATGTGTATCACACTGTGTATCATTTGTGTATCACATATGTATCATATTTGTATCAATTGTGTATCACATGTATATCCATGTATACCTGTGTGTGAGATACATGCGTGATACATGTTTGATACATGTGTCGCAGAAGACTTTTTTGAACTCGATTTAATTATGAATTTTGATACAATACCACTCCAAATCACCTCCAATCTTCCTCAAATTTTGTATATTGACTTATCTATATATTTTCAATGAATTTCAACTATACCCATTGAAAAAGTTCCTTTTTTGTTTAGATTTTTGGAATATTTGTATAAATCTTTGTATTTCATCACCTTATTTGCTACCCCGTCCATGAAATTTCTTTTCCGTCTTGTATCTAATGTTGCTAATCACACTTAAAAATATGGAAGGTGATTTTTGCATGTGATTCTTTGAGAGAAAGAACCCTATTATTTGATTTTTCAATTTTTGTTGGCTAGCTTTGGTAAGTCTATGACTAATAACTAAAGGTTGGTAAGTTGATATTTATTTGGGATATTTGTATAAGTTTCCCTTAGAAAAATGGGTAAGGGAGAAAACTAATGGACATGGACGGGTAAATATTGTCCCATCATGAGTATTTGCTGAACTTCCCCTTTTGGTTCCGGGTAACAACTCTCTCTAATAGGAACATGTCAGAAGTCTTGGAGCCAGTTTTGTGAATTCAATTAAATCTATTATTTTTCTTCTCTATAATAGCTATCTTATCGATGATATATTATTTTTAGAATCGACCTTTTATATTATATTTTTCTTCTCAATGACACTTTTTTATCTATAACAACAATAATTATCTTTATAACACGCTCTTTGTAAAATTTTCTCTATTGAAGTCATTTTTATACAAATAAAATCTCTAAAATTACGAATAATAAGTAAAGATTTTGACTAAATATTTTGCAACTATAATAAATCACTTATGACGAAAAATATAACATGAGTACATACTTGAAAGAGACTAGAATCTATGAAACAAACTATAATTACAGATTTTTCCATCAATCTTAAAACACCGTTTGAATTTAGTTATGAAGGAAGTGGTAATAAAGGAAGTCAGGAAGTGGCTCGATACAGGTATTATCTTTCCCATTTCTGACACCAAGCAGGTAAGTCAGGTTCAGTGTGTACCTAAAAATGGGGGAATGATAATAATAAATTAATTATAACTAGGACTGTCACAGGTTGGAGAATCTGCATAGACTATCGAAAATTGAACGCCGCTAGAAAAGATCACTTACTCATTCCCTTCATTGATCAGATGCTAGATAGGTTGGCTGGACAAGATTATTATTCTTTCCTTGATGGATATTCCGGCTATAACCAGATATATATTCTGCGCGAATTTAAATTTTTAAAAAATTTGCGATTTTCTTTTGCCCAATGGTAATTTTTGAATTGAAATTCGCGACCAAACAGATATGAATAAACACTTTCGTCAACAGACACGGCTAGAGCTGTAAATATGGGCCGGGCTGGGTTAACCCAGCCTATGTGAGCTTTAGCAATTGATGGGCTAGGCTAGGCTAACCCACCATTTTGATGAGCCTTATAATGGTCAGCACACCCTAGTCCTATGTGGGCCGCGGGCCCCCACGGGCCGGCCCATCTTTTTCTAAAATATTATTTATATGATTTTCTTTAAGTTCTAACCTAAAAAAGATAATTATCTAAAAATTAAAAAATATCTTATTGGAAACATTTGGCAAAACTTAATAACTTTTTATGTGAAAGAGAACAAGAGAACAAATAATTCACTTTCCTAAAAAACTACGTCAAGATAATTCTACCTCCGAAACATTTTCATAATGCTTCCAAATAATGAACCAGCACACGAAGGAAATAGAGTAAAACAACCCAAAATCCCAGGAGCTAATCCAAAATAACCTACTCGATTGACTAGGCTGCTTCGGGAGACAGTGAGGTTTTTCTGCTTGGGGAGTAGCCCGTCAAAGAGTCTTTCTATCTACTAAAGCATATAAAGGAAAAATCTAAGTTCGCTTTTCTTTTGGTTCTTGTTTTAGGTCATGTTATGTCAAGTCTTAAAACTGTAAAAAATAGCTAGGTTAGCCAGTTTTTCAAAGGGAGAAATTCAAAAATATTCAGATTTATAAGTGGTAATTGAAAAATAGTCCCAGTTTCAAAAGCAATCAAATTTTAGCCACTTTTCATGTAAAGATAAATCTGAACGAAAACACTGTTTAAAATCCGAAAAATATTCCAGCATAATATACTGGAGTTCCAGTATATTATACTGGTCCAGCATAATATACTAGAAGTTCATACACAGGTGCACCAATCTCCAGTATATTATGCTGGAACTTTCCGTGTTGCAACAAAACAGTGGCTATTTTTGAATGACTTTGCAAACGCTGGCTATTTTTCAATTACCAGTCCGAAACTGGCAAGCCCGTGCTATTTTCACTTTTTCAAATGTATGAACAAAGTAGCCACCGGTCCGAGTAAAATGACATTTTTGCCCCTAACTATAATACAAAACAAAACTCCAGTCATCGATGCACGAGTTCAAAGTTTTGACAAGTGAAACTCTCGCACAATATGCTGGAGTTCAATCTCCAAAAACGATTCCTGGTGTATGAACCTTTACTAGTATTTCAAACGCTAGGATGAACCCCAAGTGTTTAAACTTTTACTAGTTCAAACTCCAGTAACGATTCCTAGAGTTCAAACATTTACTATAGGAAATCTGGATTGGTATTTTATCTCCTTAAATACTAACTCTGAAATGGCTATGTTGTCATTGGTCAAATGACGACAATGACAATCTTCTCCTTCGATCACTAATTTCCATGTTGCAGTAGCAGAGGACTTTTGAAACCCAAAAAAAGGAGTAAATAGTGGTGAAGAGGTTTGTTTACAGCTAATAGAGATGGATTTGACCACTTAACTTAGAGATCTGTCGAACTCCTGGAACGACATTGCAGCAGGGTAAAGAATCTTTACACGGTTAATGTACATAACTTAAATCTTTCTGGAAAAAACACGAAAATGTCCTCTTTTTCACATTGAAAGCATCCAACATTATGTTTTACTAGAAATTGAAAGCATATATTTCAGGCACGTAAAAAGCTTGTGGCCACCTTCCAAACAATCGCGGATGAGAGACGGAGAGAAGGAAGCAAAATGAGCCAACAGAGAAGAAAGACATGATGAATATTCTGTTGGCAGTTGAAGATGAGAATGGAAGAAAACTGAATGATGAGGAAATCATCGATGTTCTAATAATGTACCTTAATGCTGGTTATGAATCTTCTGGTCACATTACAATGTGGGCTACTGTCTTTCTGCAGAAACACCCTGAGGTCCTTGAAAAGAGCTAAGGTAGTCAAGACTTCATCATTTCAGAAAATTAGTAAATAGTCACCTTAAAGTTTGTTATTTCTCAAGAACATGTTCTGTTCAAAAAATAGGCAGAGCAAGAGGCAACTGTGAAAAATAGGCCAACTGACCAGAAGGGTGTGACAATAAAAGAAATTAGGCAAATTGACTACCTGTAAAAGGTAACTTCCTGTTTATTATCAACACTATGCGTAGTTTCTTTTCTCCAGCCAATTCCATATACCTACCAAAATTCATCCGTAATCTTGAATCTTGAAGGTGATCGATGGAACACTTTGTATTGTTACCTTCTCCCTTGTAGTCTTCCGAGAAGCAAAGACCGATGTGGTTATAAATGGTAAGTTACAATCTCGTTCGTCTTCCATTTTGCTTCAGGTAAAACCACATTGTGGCTAATGGACTGGACTCGCTTGGTTTCCAGGATATACTATTCCAAGAGGATGGAAAGTTTTAGTATGGTTTAGGTCTGTTCACTTGGATCCTGACATCTACAATGACCCAAAGGAGTTTAATAAGTTTAAAAAGCTATCTGTTTCACCTCCCTCAACACCCTGTCCACAACCCCATCCCCACCCTATAACCCCAACCACTAATTAGAAAGTGTAAACGTTCTTACTTTTCCTATTTGTAACAAAATTTCTGATGTTTTGTTATCCTTTTATTGGCTTTTTCCTCCCTTATTTTTAGGGTCTTACACCAAAAGCAGGACCTTTCCTTCCTTTTGGAGGGGGAAGCAGACTGTGCCCAGGAAATGATCTTGCCAAGCTAGAAATATCTATCTTTCTTCATTATTTTCTTCTAAATTATGAGTGAGTCAAATTTGCAAAAGCTTTCTTGTTCTCCTTCCTATCTGCTTTTTGGTACTTCACTTTTTCGGTTGATTACCTAATGTTTGATGTACTTACCTCATTGCAGGCCTGCTTGGGTTGAGTAATAAGTGTTTCATCAACTGCAAGTGCATCGGCAGAATAGCAGAAGGAACAAGAAAACCTCTCTCAATATGGAGAATCTGGCTGATGTAGAATCTTAGGATGTACAGTAGCAACTACAACAGGACAGGTGGAATAGGATGACCTTAAATTTGAGTTGAGTTGGGTGAAAGGAGAGGAGAGGGGTTGGAGAAAGAGGATGAACGGGTAGTAGTTAGGAAACCAAGGAGAGGCACGTTCGGGTTTTTGAAACCTACCCTCTGGAACTTTTTCTTCAACTAATTTTTGGAAGTTTCATATCACAGATTCAACATATTCATTTGCTGATAAAGCTACATGGAGGCCGGTAAATAAGAAAAATGGATACGATACTGAAGATCACCACTTTGTTGCCATCACAAGATTTAAAAAAAAACTATCACCTGTCATGCCCCTAAAAAGAATTCACAAAGTTAAGTACCTTGCCAATACCACCGACTTCTGACCACTCATGCAGCCTTCTATCAAGTCTTTTTCCTGCCTGCTAAATGTGGGCATACATAAACCATTAAGGAAAAAAAGAACAGAAGCTAAAGCAGTAAAAAGTACACATCTCACAATTACAAACTGCTAAACTTCACTTGAAACTTGCTGTGATCAAATTACTGACCTTATTACCAGCCGGGGCAGGGAGATTGATGCTTACAAATGGAAATATGTAGAACTAATGAAGCATTTCGAGGATGCAAGACTCAGGTTTCCAAGTCAAATGGGGCTACGAGACAAACGTGGAGTATACATGCCTCATACCATTGGAAGAGAATACTGCTACTTATTGCAATGTCAATGTGTAAAAACTTGGAATATTGGATAATAAGATATCCAGTCAAAAGACAAAAGCTGTACCCTAGTCATATTTTGTTGAAAGACACATCACCAGGCCTGTGGATAGAAAGAGACATAAAAAATAGAAATTATATGTAATCATTTTTTCCTCTGCAGACATGGCTGTAGCTGGTGTATTGCTTCACAAACATGGCCGGCAAGATAAATTCACAGCTTAGAGAAGACACTTCTCCCTGCAAAGTTTCAAGTTCATAGTTGAAAAAAACACCTAACCTACACTGTTATCATAGAAAGGAATAACATAACTGCAAAGCCATCAACTTCCGTTTGCAACATTGATCACTCCAGTTCTGCTGCAATATAGAGCAATAAAAGAAAAACTTGCAACCAACAGTAAATTTAGTATTATAGTAGATAATAAACACCAAAATAGATAGGAATAATTCAGCTTTTTGCACGCTCAATTCTATTTCACTACATTTTAATACTTCGCATCTGAATGATTTCAACTAGAAGATGTGTTCTACTAGGACATGGGAGAACAAAACTTCAAAATAAGACCACGGAATATGGCTCAACTTGGTCGTACTAACTACTCTGTTATTTCATCAATCATGCGAAATGCAAGATACTGAAGAATTTCCTGCCTTCTGGGGGTTTGCGACCATGGTGCTTCTTTTTCTAATTGTGACTATGATTGGGCCCTACACGGTCCACTCGAATAAACAGGAGGTACTCCTTCCAATTGACAAGCCTAATACAATGGAAATTAATGCATGAGTGAGCTGCAAGCTAGCATGATAGAAATAGCATATCATCAAAGGGTAAGAGCTATAAGTGAATGGCAGGAAACACCATCTGCAAAGTATAATTTACACAGAACTGCTCGAAGTAATTATAATTGCTCTCACCAGCTTGTAGACCCCAAGCCCACGTAGTTGCTAATTTTCGATTTGCAGATTTTTAAAGCATTACCACACATTTGATAACATTTTTGCCTTCAATTGACAGAAAGTACCCTGTTGGAGCTACATAATTTCTCAATTCAGGAATTAAATAGCTAGTAAGCTAAGCAAACATCACAACTGTGATTTTTCAACAACTTTAAATCTGAAAAATTAAAGAGCATAGTCTACTTAATAGCTCTGAAAGATCATTGTTCTTATATGCGACTGAACATTTTACCAATATGTAGAAGAGTATAATGTAGGAAGGCGAAAATCTAACATGTATAAAAGATAAGAGAAGTAGAGAAGTTTCCTTACATGGAGCTAGAAAATATCTCAGTTCAGGTTAAAAAGCTAGGATGCTAAGCAAACATCATAAGCTGTTATTTGTCAATGATTTTAAGCCTGAAACAAAGACATTCACCAATATGATAAGCAAAAGATAAGATAGATATTCATCTTCCTACATTGTACTCTTACTCTTCTAAAGATGGTCCAAAATACTGAACTTGAGAAAGAAGCAAACCCAAGCAGTTAAAATCTGCTCCATTGGAGAAATTGATAGCAATAGAAGTTAAAAATGCAGCATGGGGGGTATATATATATAATAAGCCAGAAAGGAAGGGGTAAGGTCTGCGTACACACACCCTCCCCAAACCCCACTTGTGGGATTCCACTAGGAGGTTGTAGTAGTTGTTGTTGTTGTTGTAAGCCAGAAAGGCAGTAAAAAAAGAGAAATTATTGAAGAATTCAACTAATATTGAAAGATACCATAATTTATGCCCAATTCACTTACAAAGTTCCTACAAAGAGACAGTGCGTCTATAAAGTGATTCCTCATCACTTTCCTCCTCTTCTGATACATTATCACTGCCTGCCATTTCTAACTTCCCGCCCATACAAAATGATGGACCGGAACTTTCAGGCACTATATAATCACCATACAATCTCTCTTCAAATCTTTGGTCACTGCAGTTAAGAAACCAAGCCAAAGAACATTTGATTCCCTTGCTTTGCAACCTCTGGTACCTCGGCTTGATTCTTAATTCTAAGCTATAAGTGAAATAGTCCGGAAAGTCCACAAGTTCTTCCATTGGCCTGCCCATATCACTCTTGAAAAAGTAATAGCCATTTTTCATGAGGCCAACTTGTATAGCAACTAACTGAGGACATTTTATAATCATCTTAGCCACATCATCAGCTGAAAAACCCCGTCCAAGAAGGAACTCGACAGGTTTCAATATAACATGCTGATGAAGGCTGATAATTTGCGGCATCCTCTCAATTACACGAGCAAACCCATCAGTATCGATCTTGAGCTTCAACTTAAAGAAATATTGTTGTGATGACAGCTTAGCCTTCAAAGGCAAACCAAGAATTTGCGGATATTGTGCAATAACAGAAGGTAGAGCTTCCCTCCTAATTCCAAAACTAAGCAAGCAACTTACATTCACTTTCACTGTCTGTTCAAGATCATATCCAAGTAGATACGCCCGTTTCTCGACCATCCTTGCTAAAATTTTCTTCGGCAAACCCAACGAAACCAAATAATCCACAAACGGTTTAATCATGGTCCCAACTCTCATTCCCAACAAATATGGATATTGTGTTACCATTGGCCCTATATCCCTCGGATTAACCCCTATACTGACCAAGTAAGCTACTGAAGTACTCATCGTTCCCTCGAGCTTAAACCCTAACAACTCTGGGTATTTCATTAAAACAAATCCAATATCAAGCTTCTCGACGTCAAGCCCCCGTAAAAATTTGACAACCGGAACAAGCTCCACTACAACACTAGCATTCAAACATTGTGGATAACTTTTAACAAATTCACCAAGACTTGACCTTTGAATCCCGATTTTTTCTAAATATGTCAAAACAGGGATTACATTTTTCCTCACACTATATCCAACCATTAAGGGATACTCATTGATATCATCAATTGTTAAACCAATATTCTGCAGAAATTCGACACGTTCACGCATGATTTCAACTGTGGATGGCAATTCTTGATCCTCTAATTCATTAGTAACTATGCCTATGCTTTTTAAATAGTCAGAAATTATAACTCTTGAGACAAGTTTTTCTTTATTCTTTTGCAATATTCCCCATGTCACTGAAGGCATTTCATACTCAGGGAATTTTTTTGGCGACTGGGTTGAAAAGGGCCTCTGAATTATAGACGTAGGAAGATGAATAAATATTTTTTGAGGGTTTTGGTAGGTTTTTCCAAGAATTAGCTTCAAGAATGTATCTTTTCTTCTGAAAATTGAGCTCATTTTAGAGAATCCTAAATTTTTGAGGTTAACACTGTTATAGAAAGGAATAAATAGGAATGGATGTAGCGGGGATTAAAGATTTACCTTTATTCAAAAATGAAAGAAGCTCGCTTCCATAGCTTCAAAGGGAATAGAGGGATTTGACATTTGAGTATGTAAAAGACGACGAGTTCTGTCTTTACAAAACACTCGCATCTGCAAACTGCGTTTCATAACGTTATGAGGCCAAAGACACCCTTGTATAAAGCAATTTAATAGTAGTACCTCTTCTGCTATTACCTATTTTAGTACTGTGAAGCATTAGCATAAGATAGCTTAGCAGATCAGTATTAGCATTGATTCTGTCTAGAGTCCAATGAGGACGTGTTTCTAAATGCTTTTTTTTTAAGCAACTATATACCACTAGTGGCTAATATATATCCAATGTTTACAATATGTCATATATATATATATATATATATATATATATATATATATATATATATATATATATGAACCAAAAATAAGGATCCATTGTTTACAATATGTCCAAAGCGAAATCTAAAAGGTGCTAAGCTAAAGCTAATAAAATGATAAATGTTAACTATTACAAATGGTCTCATAATCGACTCCCGACATATGATGGTGAGTGTATCCACAAGCCAAGTGCAAAACCTCAATGTAGCACCTCTAATGCTCTCACTAGGCGCAAAGTTTTGTGTTCCAAAGGACAAGGCAAATGTGAAACTCCGAGCAACACCATGAACTTCTGGGCTGACCAAATAACCAAGCATGAAGCGTGTACACTGAAAATGATCATCCACGCTCTGAAGAGCAAACTTCTCTTCCCTGTACTTATGAATATCTGCAGAATGGACCAAGATAATTGCAGCATACATTGCCAGTAGCAGCCAGGATTGAGGTACCACTTCTGCATTTCAATACACCAATGTGCATTGCCATGGCTTCTCCAAATTGGGCATGTAAACATGCCAATATCACAGGATAATATTCTAACAATACACATTTGCACAAAACCAATCAATATACCTTGTAGCAACATGGGATCCCAACTTATTCTCACTACAGAGTTTAGCTTCAAACACCACTGATTAGTAACAGCATGGTGAGCTAGGTGAACGTATACCATTAAGCTAAAACTTGTCCAGTAGCCAATGCTTATAGCATATACTAACCTGGTATAAGACTGTATGAAAAATTGTGTCCTTGTATGATGAAGAAACCACATCTTGCTTGCATAAACAACTCCATAGACCATTAGAACACCACCAGAATGAACATGATAACATGATAATACCACCTGTAAGTACCCAAACAATCTACAAAGACTAAAACTAACAAACATAGCAAGAACATGCATGAACAGACCTAACCTATTCATCAGTCATGAGCTTTTCTTTTTGCAACCCTAACCCTAAGATTAGGGGTTTGTGACTTGTCAAGATTGAGAAACCTCCTTCCTGCACTTGGCAGTTTAGAGAAGGAATGAAACTGGATTGTACATGCAAAAGAGAACACAAGGTTAACTAAATAATCTACCACAGTGTTGCCCGCCCTTAACACATGATGGAATATCACATTGAAATTCTCTTTCATCTCCTTTATTCTCTTAACCTCAGCCACAATGCACAAAGGTGATTCCCATTCTCCCTCAATGATCTTCTTCATCACAAGTGAATCTGTCTCCAGTATAAGAGGGTATAGATCATGTTCCACACGGAATGATATGCATCTTTGATTGCCCTAGCTTCAGCTACTATGTTTGTTGTGTCCTCGAGTAATTGTGCCTCAGCAAACACCAAATCACCTTCACTGTTTCTCATACAAAAACCTATAGAACTAGGGCCTGAATTCCCTCTTGATGCTCCATATGTATTGCACTTATACCATCCTGTGTGTGAGAAATGCCATGCTACTCTTTTGCTCACAATAATAGGCTTATACTCCTCAAAGACTTTGATCATATCTGGCCAAAGATAAGGTATGTTAGACAACCATCTATACCTAGTTTTTTCCAAGAAGTGCAATGTCTTATTAATCTCATGAATGACTCTTTGAACTGACATTGAACCCCCATTCCTATTTGTGTTTCTCATCTTCCAAAGTTCCCAGGTGATAATTGCAGGTGCTACTTGATATAGTGGCTTCATCTTTGGACAATAAGTAACATTCCACCATGCCATAATCACTTGATGTACCTGCACCAATGGAACAATGATCCCAGTAGCATTTAGAAAGGTCCTCCACACATTAGTTGAAGTAACTCCAGTCAAGAAGAGATGATCATAAGACTCCTCTTGTGGTGCTGTACAGAACCAACAACTGGACATATAAATTTAACCTTGCCTTCTTTAAATGTTATTTGTAGCCAGTTTGAATCTCCATAACCTCTAGAGAAAGAAAGAAATGATGATTTCCATATGCCTTACAAGATGCCAATGAGTAGTAAACATGCCAGAAGTAGTAGGTTTCCACTAAGGCCTATCCCAGAATCCATCACTTCCTTCAAACTGTACATTTTGCTTGATGTGATCTGCAATGTCTTTTGAAAATGATTGGTCAATTAACTCCTCATTCCAGATATCTTCTTGCCTCATTTCAACCACCTCTTCTAACTTCTCATTAATGTGAAAATCTAGAGGCACTAGGTGATACAGAGCTGCTAGAACTGTCCAGTTTTCATGCCAAACATTAGCGGTTCTAGCCTTCATCTCCCACCAAATCTCATGCTCCACTTGATGTTTAGCATTCAACATTTGCTTCCAAATATGTGATCCTTTCCTAAACTGTACTACCGTAGGCAACTCATTTTTGCAGTATTTATTCCACATGAAATTTGACTACGAAGACTTTGTGGTCCTAAACCTCCACCACAACTTTGCAAACAGTGCTTTGGAGACATTAAACAATGATATCAAACCCAGTCCTCCTTTCTCTTTTGGAAGACACAACTTCTGCCATGATGCCCAATGCCTGCTTATCCATTCTTCCTTTGTACTCCAAAAGAACCTTGCAAACAGTATATGCAAATGTTCTATGATATTCTTAGGCGGATCCAGTACTGAGAGCATATGTATAGGCATACTTTGAAGTACACTACTTATCAAAGTAGCCTTGCCTCCAAAAGATAACAGCTTCCCTTCCCATGAGTGTAACTTAGACTTCATTTTTTTTAATAAGATCATCATAATAGTTCTTCTTCCTCCTGGTATAGAATATAGGGCATCCTAGATAAGTAAAAGGAAATGCACCTCTAGCGAAGCCTGTGAGATCCCCAACTGTTTGGAACAAAACATTGGCTGCCTTTGCATATAATATGAGCTCTTTGACTTATTGATCAACTGCCCTGAAATCTTCTCATAGTCATTCAACAATCCCATAATCTTCTTTAAAGATTCTATATGAGCTGATACAAATATGATGGTGTCATTAGCATATGTAAGATGATTCAAGGGGTCAGTCCACTTTGGCATCCCAAAACTTATAAATGATTTGTCATCAAACAACTTGTTAAATGACCTAGATAGAACCTCAACAAATAGGATGAACAAGGCAAGAGACAATGGATCTCCTTGCTTCACACCTTTAGAAGATTTGAAGAACCCTGAAGACTGGCCATTCACCAATTCAGAATACCAATTATTGGACAGTAAACTCCATATCATGTTGATGAAGTGTTCAGCAAATCCCATTTTCCTCAGCACATGTAACAAAAACTTCCAGGATACCTTATCATATGCCTTAGTCATATAAAGTTTTATGACTACATTAGTAGGCTTGTCCCTCAATCTAAAATCAGTAACAATATGTTGAGTAGTAGGATGTTCTTAAAGATACTTCTACCTTTCACAAATCCGGATTGGATGTTTGATATTAGTGACGATAGAAAAATCTCCAGTCTATCATGCAGCACTATTGACAACACTCTGTTAATGAAATTGCTCAAACTTTTAGGCCTCAAATCTGAGAAATTTTGAACCATAGGCTTCTTGGGCAGAAGCACTAGGTTAGTGTGAGTAATATATTTAGGTAGTGCAGCTCCCCCATAGAAATGTATCACCATATCATGAATGTCCTTGCCAATGATCTCCCAGCATTTTTGATAAAAAGTACCAGCGAATCCATATGGACCACTAGCACTTTCTCCACTAAGTTTTCGTTTCACTTCTTCCATCGTAGGATATCTACAAAGTTCAAGATTCTTCTCCTTTGTCACTATGGCAGGAACATTAGCTAACAAAGAGAAATCTGCAGGAACTTCCTCATGTGTGAACTACCTCTCATAGAACTCCACGAAAGCCTTAGCCAAAGCCTCTTGATCTTCAACCCATGCTCCATTGCTGTCTTGAATACTCTCCAGCTATAGATTCTTCCTCTTTCCATTTACATAATTGTGAAAAAATCTAGTGTTCCTATCTCCTTCAGTGAATCATGTCATACCAACCTTCTGCTTTCAATCCCGCTCTTTAATACTTTAGGTAACTCTTCAATCCAGCTTAAGCTTTCTGTAAGACAATTCTATTATCCACAGTTGGCTCTTCCTCAAATAGCATATCATGTACCCTTACAATATCTTCCCTGATTGCAAGTTGCTTGAAAATATCTCTATAGGTATCCTTGCTCCATTTAGACAATGCAGCCTTCATCCTCATCAACTTCTGCTTGAACATGAGGAAAGGATCACGAAGGAAGTCTACAAATCAATTCTGCCTCACAACCTCTTTAAAATTCTCATGCTTAGTCCAGAAGTTCAAGAACTTACAAGGCGTAATATAGTTAGACCTTTGTTCACCACAACTCATCAACAAAGGATCATGATTTGAGCCAGTTCTAATGAGGTGTTCAACTTCAATAGTTGGAAACAAATTCTGGAAAGGAAAGTTCACAAGGATTCTATACATTCTGCATTTAGCCTTCCATTCCACCAAGTGAAGGGACCCTTGTAGCCTAGATCAAACAGCCCACTTGAATTCACACAAAATGCAAAGTCCTCATACTTAGGAGGATGGACTGGAAGCTCACATATCTTCTCATCTTCATGAAGCAACACATTAAAATCTCCCCATACCATCCATGGAAACACCATATCACTTGCAAGATAATAAAGATTATCCCACAACTCCAATCTCTCAAATGAAGAACATTTAGCATATACAAAAGTACACATAATGTGTTGGCCAATGTCCTGATGATACAATTTGATCGTAACTTGCTGATGAGTGTCCATCACTAGCTCCCATACTTCTGCAGCATCAAAAAATAGCTAGATCTTCCCATTTATGTTAGCAAAAGCAGCCTCCATATTGAGTCTTCTTCTATATCTTTGAATGTGTCTAGAATTCTGAAATGGCTCCATCAAAGCAATCAC